AAGTAACTTTAGAAACGTTTTCCCCTGGCGCATGTCACCTTAAGAAATAGCAACTGGTTTCTGAAATACAATTAGGGAATAACGAAATTGCGTCGATCGTACGCCTAAATGTGGTAGATATTTTCGACAATTAAAAAGAGAGCCTGTTAAAAGTACCTCTATATCAGATAAAATTGTGAATATAATTTTTATTTTACGCGGTCTCAGTAGTCCGGGTTAACTTATCCTTGAATATACGAAACTAATCTTGAGTTCTGTTGCTCCAATTTAGCACACAGTTTGCTCTTAGTGACAGAATAAAGAGGTGAACATTTTTTTTTGTAACTATATCTAGCTAACTCGTAGACCGGTCATTAAAAAAAAAACTGTGTACTGCCAAAACAGCTATACTATCAACAAAAGAGGCAACGACGTGCAAAATAGTAGGGACTCTTACCAAACCGTTACCGTGTACCGTACTACCGGAGCCTTTGAAGCATGCTTTTAAGCGCGCGCACGACGGATACCGGTGACCGCAGGGCGCGCGATTGAAGGTATGCTTCAGAGGCTCCGGTAGTGCGGTACACGGAACACGAAACCACTTCGCTAAAAGTCACTATTGTTCGAGCACTGACGCATTCACACGTTACGCATGTGGTGTTAAATCTTGATGTAAAGACGATAAATAAAACACCTATAAATGGTTTCTGATGAGATCTGCAAAATGATAATAGGCCTTTTTTTTTTTTTAGAAAACTTTCATTAAAGCTTTATTGCGAAGAATCGCCAAAAAGATTGTGATTATCAGTCAGAGCACCGAATCATTTTCAAGTAAAATGATCGCCTTTGTTCGCCAAGCTACCATATAAAGGTTTTGGGGTGGGGTACGATGCCACCCTTAAGCCGCTTAAAATTATTCTTGACATTTATAACATAGCCTGGGATAAGCGTTATTTTTTTTTTACGTAACGGCAGTGGCATGAATGCAGAACGATAAAAGTAAGAAGAAAAAAAAAGAGCAGCGTTTGTTTTCTTCAACTTGAAGCCACAAAAAGAAACCACGTGATCTGGAAACGATTATATGCCATCAATGTTTATCATAGGCACGCCCTGAGGTTAGCAAAGCATAGGGCACGCGCTGAGTTCGACGTATTCCTAAAGATCGACTATTCCCGTCTTCGATCGGGCAACAGTCACTATACACTAAAAAAAAAAAAAGCCTTTACGTCTACTTTAACGCACACCACTCGGAGTGCCAATCGCCGACCCTTACGGAGGCAGCTCAGCAAATGACGATGCCGAAACATATGTTGAGACCAAAAAGCTCAGTCTGAGTTGTGATATTAAGCAATGCAAGGGCAATGGCCTCATTTAGATATTGTCACCATGGGGATCGCAAAGTTTGACGATAAAAGTCTGTGGATCGCATTGTCGACAACACAAACAATGCATTCCCAGAGCTTCTTGTTAAGATGGAAGCTTGGGCGAGTTGGTCAGCGTTCATATTAAAAGCAATAGCGCTTAACGAACAAAAACCAAAGGACAGGACAGACTTAAAGAGAAACACAGCTTCGTCATCAAAGTTTGCGAAGGAGACACAGAATGAGAACGTCCGCTTTTATCCTTGAAATTACGAGGCGACAAAGAAGCTTCTGGTCAGTGGAGCGGCGAGCGAGTATACTCGCGTCTCGCAAGTGCCAGCAAAATTGTGTATAAAGTGAGAAACGTTCTCACCCAATATCGTTCGACGGTTAAACCTTTAGGCCTTGCTAAAAAAAAAAAAGTGTCATATCAAAATAATAGCGAATGATCCCGTCATATGAACTTTCTCGCCAACTGTCAACTATTTTTACTTTTACATTTAAGTAAACCAGTCAGTCAATTTGTTCACACATTTGCCAAAGGTGAAGTTTGATTCGAATAATGAAATACCCTTAGTTATCATACCCCCCCTTACAATCTCCAACTACAGGTCAAATGTCAAGTTAATATGACCAAAAGGAGAAACGTATTTTTAAGGAAATTTAACCGAAAAGAAAGTGTTCGGACAAAAAAGAAAGTTTTCAGACGACATCACCACGGTTCAAGGATGCTTTAATAAGGCTTTAGAAAAAAAAAGAACGCTTTTTCCGCATCGCAAAGTTTGTTGACACGGTTGAGCGATGTAAAGCATATAAATTTGCTACCACTTTGTACCAAAAGGCAATCAATGAAACTGAACAGATACTTTTTTCTCAAAAGTTAACTGCGAAGTTGTCAACAAGCATTAGAGATTTTAGAGCGTTATCAATGATAGGAAAAAAACCTGTAATTTCACTATCTAGCGCTGAAGGTACTATATTTTACAATCATGACTGAGCAAAAATGATAAATGATGTGTTTGCAAAATCATTCTCTGCTGTACCCTTGTTATGTTTCTTATCGTGATTATATTTTTCCCTATGCAATTGGGAAATTAATAGAAAATCTAGAAATGTCGTCATTATGTCGTATTGATAGTTTTAATTCTAAGTTTCTTAAATGTACTAAAGTATAGACTGCTACGTTTCTTTCTATGATTTTTAAGAAATCACTTCTTTTAGCGGCAATCTCTCTGATGACTGAAAAATTAATAAAGTGGTTCTAATGCATAAGTCAGGTGATTAACACTGTACTAGTATCTACACAATTAATAAAGACCCATCTCCCTAATTAGTACTCCTTGCAAACTCTTAGAGCACATTATTCATGCACCCCTCTCTACATTTCCCGATTCTAATTCATTCATCTCTTTCTCAACATGGCTTTCGGAAATCTCTTTCCTGTGAAACGTCTTAACCATGGATCCCACTTTCACAGTATGTTTCTGGACTTCTGCAAGCATTTGACAAAGTTCCCCACAACTTACTACTCTTAAAACTAAGTAAGCTCTATCTCGACCCTGACGTGCTAACATGAATTAAGTCTTTTTTAGCAAACCGCTCCCATTTTTATCTGCAAATAATTATAATTCCCCTCTAAGGTCTGTTACATCCCGTGTGTCTCAGGGTTCTGTCATGGGACCCTTACTATTTCTAATTTACATCAACTACTTTCCCTTGTGTTTCATCATCTCTTAGCCTATCCGACGACGATTGTGTAATTTATCGCGAAATTAATAATGACACTGATATATTTCTTCTTCAAAATGATCTAAATTCTGTTTCAGAATGGTGTAAACAGTGGCACATGACCTTAACATAGATAAATGTAAATTAAGGAGAGTTTCTCCTTCCACCTACTTTCTTAACGGTTTCTTGCAATCTGTTACTCCCTATATATACCTTGGTTTACACATCACTTATAACTTATCCTGGCAGATCCACACTGATCACATAGTTGTTAAAGCATCTTCCATGCTAGGATACCTAAAACCAAACTATCCTTTAGCTCCAATCACTTAAGCTACCTCTATATATGCCTTAGTGTCATACCGCTGCCTATCTTGATTCCTTCATTCCAAGAACATCAACAGTGTGAAACCACTTACCGTCAGTTTTATCATGAATACCATCACTTGATTTGTTTAAAAAGACTATTACTAATTATACTTTCAAAAATGTTTCGTGATTCTCAATTTTTTTATTGCTTTTGATTTTTGCTCTTGTATTTCGTTTTTGCGTGTGATTATGTGCCCACCCCGTCTATAATGCCGGTCGAGGTCTTGAAGGTATCTCAATAAATAAATACAAAATATACACTTTTTCTCGATTGACGTACGAAAATACGTGTTTCGCCGTTACAGACACCGCTTATTAGGTTACAATAACTACCGTATGTGCCCAAATGATAACTTCACTTCTTATGACTAAGACCCTAGCGTCTACTTTCCTGCAAAGCACACATACAACCAATCATCGTGCTTTCCATAAAAAAAAAAAAAAAAACGCAGCGAATAAGGTTTCAAACACGCGTCTTCGTAAAATTGAGATCTGAACACATTGCATTTTTGGCGTGAAGACGTTATCTCTGTCCCGTGAATCGCCGCCATTTTTCTGCCGAACGCGGTGATTCGCTATCCCCCTGCTCCGTGGGAAAGCAGACCGACAGGCCTTGTTCACAAGAAGTGCGGCTATTACTGCAGCAAATACCGTACTCACTCGTGCAGGCACCGGATACTATAACTACGAAATAACAAGACGTCAAAGAGATTGGCATGTGCCGTTTCGTTTTTGGATTTTCGCCCGCTTAGAAACGTTTACCTGCCGTGCCTACACTAATGAACGCTGTTTCGACAGTTCGTAACCAGGTACAGAAATAGCACGCTGCCCACGCGCGCGCAGCAACAAAGCAGCCGTATGTGGTATCAGTAAATACCCGACTCTAGTCTAAGAACTCGCTAATATTAGGCCTCAGGTCGATGGCCAGAGGCTATTGTCACCGACAGTTTAAAAAACGCAAGGCGTGGCTTCTTATGTTCAGGCTTCGTGATTGGTCCTTTGGTGTTCCTATCGGTCAGTGCTGCAATTTCATTGGTTGCGGAGCGATAATGAGATGCGCGGAATTCGACACGCCCTGCGTTTCTGAAGCTGGGGGGGCTATGCAAAGCGCAAGTTCGTCTGCTTCTTGCACAGGGGTTGCGACATGTCAGAACACAAAACTATTATTGGCTATTAAAAAAAAATATATATATATATACTGGGTAGACTTTAAGATATCTAGCATTGAGGTCTACCCACTATCCTCTCAATCAAAGCCAATCAGAGCTCGGCATTGCTCTGACGTCACTGCAAATCCTGCGCAAGACGCAGACGACTCGCTTTCCGCATAGGCTATCGGAGTGATGCGGTAATATTCCATGACAACCACCATTCGCGCATCCCTAGTTGCAGAAGGCAAAGTAAACAAAAGAGTCTACGGTAATATAGGTTTCGCGCCTTCGCGAATCGACATCCGTGCAAGTGACTATGAGAGCAGTAGCAGGATGACACGAGTAATAGAAGCCGCTCGAAGCGGTGTTTTGCAGACAACCCAGGCAGGTAAAAATGACAAAGAAGGCTCACGTTCGTTGGCTGGCTCGAACCTTTCTGAAGAACGAAGAAACAGCTGAAGGGGTTTTGTGTAAGACGAGCGGCTTTCTCTCCTTCAGAACAATCGACGGTTGACGTTGGAACTCAACTCGTTCCAAACTTTCGCCAGCGGCCCCTTTTTATAAAGCAGTTGACCCCCCCCCCCCCCCCCCCCCTCCCCCGCGGAACAGATACGAGGAACAAAACGCACCGCCTCCTCCCCCACGCAAACGACTGGAACCAATCGGCGGGCGCGTGACGTTAGAAGATCACGTGAACACGGCCGACCAATGACGAACCGAGCGGGGGCTGCAATGTGGGGGAGGTGAGAAAGTGCGAGGAAGAAGTGAGGGGAGGCGTTGGCAGCGGAGTGCTTGACAGATAACTGAAAACAAAGCGGGTAGCTTTCGTGTGTGCGGATATGTGTGTGTGTGTGTGCGTTTGGCAGTTTGGAAAAGACAGCCCAGGCCTGAATAAAGTTTCGAGGGACTTGAAATTCAGAGAAACTCGAAGGCTTGAAAAACATCGCTTATACATGCAACTATTTTGGTCGATTTCAATGGCGTTTCGTGTTAACCAGACGTAGGAGGGCGCCAAAATACAGATTTATTTAACTAGTACGAAACTACTACAAGGGTCCACCGTTTTCTTACAACATCCCTGCACCCTGCAGAAAGTATGAATGTTGAGTCTACAGGTGCCCTGCGGAGGATACATTTAGACGTTCCCCTTTACAAATGTCAGCTGCCAAATGGAACAAGATGCAAGCTGACATTATACCTTTAGAGCACCCTTTATAAGTAAAAAGTGTACGCGCGATACACTATGACAATTAATATGTGTTTTGTGTTTATTTTGCCACACGAAACAATAGTGTTGCAAATTTTAATTGCTTCGTACATGGGCGTCGAATTAAGTGACCGAGAAAGAAGAGAGGGGGACTTTTCTCCTCTCTTTTTTTTCCTCTGCGCTGTCACCGTAGAATGTGGTTTAACTCATACCGATACATTTTAGAATTTAGATTCGCTCATTACAACGGCATTGTCCTGCAAATATCCGAATAAAGTGAACGCCATTATATTCATTGACTTCACATTTCGATAATTCGCCTGAAGTTCCGCGCTTTCGGATATTTTGCGGGCAAACGTTTCGTGATTGGAGGTAAACTGGTCAACAGACAGTCGGTATCAATTAGCGTCAAACATACCTTTGAATGACTCATTTGTCGGCAACATTCATCTCAATTCATGCGAATTCTCGAATTTTCAATTACCACAAAGCATGTACCCTTTACAATATTCCGTATATGGGATCATATAACATACACAGAAACGTTTATGATGCCGGAGGTAAACTGGCATAAAAATCTGACATAGGATAGTGTTTGTTTGTGGTATAAAATTTGTGGTAACTTCGAAGCTTTAGCTTTTAGCTAGAAAGCTTTTCAGTCGTGTTGAAGGGGAGGGGAATTAGCAAAGTTTTTGTGGTATATTTCCGTCGTTTTGTTGTGTTTGTTGCCGATAATTAGGTTGCTTATATCTGGGAGGTCCAAGCTAATTACTCAGCCCGTTGCTATTTTTGGTATTTATAAATGGTCTATCAGCTAGTCTGCGTATTCAGTGCCGATTGTTTGCGGATGATTTTGTCCCGTTTTCAGAGATAGGTCTAGTAAAGACCAAGAAGTACTCAACAACACTCTTGCTTCTATTTACGACTGGTGATGTAATTGGCAAATGGCACTGAACTGCCAAAAAGTGTGTGCAGATGACTATAAACAAAAAAAGGACTCCTAAGCTTTTTTTCATACTGCGTGAAGGGTGTTCCCCTGCAAGTTGTTAGAGAATATAGGTACATTCATGTTGCCTTTGCGGCAGATTTCACGTGGAACGCGCACGTAAACTACATAGTTTCTAGAGCGTCGCAGAAAGTGTTTTTTAAGAATAAAATGAACATAGTTTACACCTAAAACAAAGTTAACGGCATGCGCCATTATAAGCAGGTCAATATTAGAATATGCGGACTTGGTAGGGGACCGCTACACAGCAAAACATATAGAGCAACTAGAACGAATCCAGAAAAAAAAATACTGCGTTTTGTTTATAACCGTTACGACAGGCTCTCTTCCCTCTCTCCACTCTACAAGCTGTCAAACATGCCTGGACTCATTACATGCAGGAAAAGTATTCGCCTTAAGTTTCTTTACAACATAGTCAATGGAAATTTTAAACTTATACTGATAATGCAATTCCACGCAAAAGTGGAAGCGAGCTGGACATGAGAGACTAAAATAATCCCTGGAGAAGGGGGACAAGGGGCATAAAAAACGAACACAAATCTCAAGACGCAGCTAGGTGACTTATACATTCGCAAAATTCATGTAATACAATAAATTCAGGCAGACACGATACAAAACAGGAGAAAACAGTGCGACAATCTAAAAAAAAAAAAGACTTTTAAATATTCATTTATACCGCGCACTGTTCACGAGTTGAATAATTTAACTCTAAGCAGTATCAATCAGCTCAGAACTCCTTTCTTTGTCACGGCAGTTACAAATCATGTAATGCCATAGAATAATTTTCCATTTGTGTGCCTTGAGTGCCTTCGAGTGTTGCTTTAGTTTTTTTTCATTATTAATATATGCTTTTCACTTTGCGTTATTTTTTGTTATTCTTTGTTTGTTTACATTGTACAGACTACATGCTGTACCAGGCTCACCCTTGCCTTGGACACCGTATATATAGGTGTCTGGCAATATTTCCAAATAAATAAAACAACAAATTGAATGAACCAAATAGAAACAAGATTTCAATGTAAACCTTAGATAATTCTATATATAATGACATACTTATATTGCGATAACATTGTTAATGTAGTACACGATACAATCTAAGTAATTTTGATTGATTTTTATTCATCCTTGGAGAACCCGAGGCGGTGTGTTTGTGTTTCAAATCAGGTGGTGCCTGCTGGGACGCACTACGTGGGCTGTGGCCCGGGTTCTAGCCCAGCTGTGCGCTCATGGTCAACTTCCTGGAAAAATCTTTGGCCTGCCAAAACCAGGTCTAGAGAGCAATGAAAAATCAAATAAAACAAAAACAAATAAATATATATATATATATCTGTTTTGTACAGTAACTTATTTAAAATGCACTCCACCATAAAAATAAAGAATATTTGGGAAAGAATTCGTAGTTTTATTTTAAATGTTGCAATCAAACGACGCTGAAAAATCGAATAAATTATATCTAAATTTTATAAGTAAAAGCTCCGAAAATATAACTACATCTCAGTTTAGAAATAAGTAAAATTACTTGCTAAGTAGGTAGCTATACCACCTGACAACCATGTAATTAATGAGTGGGCCGGTTAGCCACATCGCTTACGAGGAGGGCTGGGCAATTGATCGATTAACCTATCGAATAATGCTTAATCGTGATTGATTTTTTAACCGGTTACTCGGTAAACTTTTGACAAACAAAAATAAAGTAAAAATTCAAGGCTTTCGCCACGCAGATGAGGACGAGTACACCTGCATGACGGGCAAACGTTAACGTGAAATTTGGCCCGAAGTAAACTGTGGGGACGAAGTTTGTTAACTCCAAACAATTGCAGGAGGTTACACGCGTCCAGGCCACTTTAACGTAGTTCGAGCGTCCGTTTAGAGCAGCAGAGATTATCGTGAACAATCGAGGGAGGTCGCTCTTGTCGGAGAATATCAACGAACCTCTTCGCAGCATGCAGCTGAAGTAATAATCTGTGGGTGTAAGTGTCTTTGAACTCTTCTCAACTACAAATCGAGGTTGATTCAAAGCAAAATAGTATATTGCGCCGTTTGTCACGAATTCAACAAAGGCAAAAATATAGATCTTTTTATATATTATGCAGGGCAATGACCGCGACCAATTATTCGATTAATTAATCGATGAATTAATCAATTAAAGGGTGTCGATTAATCGGGTTAAATGTTTTAATTGACGCCCAGTCCTACTTCCGAGTGCACAGTTTGGCGTCAGCAGCTCAAGAAACGCGAGGGCGTGGCTTATTATATGATTGACTCCATGATTGATTCTCTCACATTCTTGTGGGCCAATGCCGCAACCTCAGTGACTCTGCGGCAATAGTTACGAGATGCTCTGAACTCGCCAAGCCCCGCCTTTCGCAAGCTACCGGCACCTCCCGAGCATCTCATTATCGCTACGCAACCAATGAGATTGCAGTATTAGCCGATGAGAAGACGGAATAACCAATCACGAAGCATAAACATAAGAACATTATTATTTTTTTTTAACTGTGAGTGACTTTATCGGTAGGCGCGGATAGATGGATGGGCAACAGTAGCACATCGGATCATATAAATATGACGATTCAGTTTATTTTACGTTGCTAAATCTCTAAATACCCATGAGCCCTCCCCCCCCTTGCCTCTTACGGGGCCGTAAAATCAGGCCAACCAAACTGGTGATCAAATAGATGTTGAAGTTTATTTATTGATGCCCGCAAGCAAACAACAACATGTATTTCCGGTTGTGTATCACACACACACACACGCGCGCACACACACGCGCGCTCGCACACACAGAGAAACATTATACACTGAAAATACCAACTTAACAGATATCACATATCCTTCTGTATTTCTGACATTGTTATAACTTAAAGGCATGAACATGTCAATACGGAGTGCAAGTTCGTCTGCTTCTTTTACCGAGCGGTGTGGTGACTTCAGAAAACCAAGCTCTTATTGGCTGACTGAATGAAAAAAAGAATAGTGGGTAGCCACTATCCTTTCAATCAAAACCCATCAGATCTCGGCGTCGTGCTGACGTCACCGCCACCCCTGCGCAAGAAGGAGACGACTTGTTCTCTGCACACACTCTTTCCGAAATTCAGACTGGCCACTTTCATCAATCTCCTCATCTTAGGATTGGTACATCTGTCGTACCAATGACAGCCTTCTGGTTATTGATGATGGAACAAGTTGAAGTTGCTCCCAAGCGGACGATGCGAGATCTCTACATTCGAGACGGTATGGTGCGACGCAGGAATTGAATACAAGAGCTGCCTAAGCCTTCCTTTCTAACTCGGGTCCAGTCTATCTGCTGGAGGTACATA